AGGTTTCAGTCCATAATCAGCTGGCTGCAAGGCTAGAACGGCAAACAAGCATCACAGAGGAGAAACAACATGGTGGTAGACAAGGCAGCAGGGTACAAAGAGAGCTGCATTACTTTTTATAAACTTTTTTTTTTTTTTTGGGTACCAGGGCCCGAACTCAGGACCTTGCACTTGCAAGGCAGGCATGGTGCCACTGAGCTAAATCCCCAACCCTTTTTTACCCAGTACCAATATCACTCACTGGACATGATTGGGTTCCTACTGGCTTGTGGGCTGACCATTACTCTACTTATCATAAAATGTTACTTGTTTTGTTATCAGAAGGTTGTAAAGATAGGAAAGAGGAAGAAGGAATAGAGCTGCTTGAGACCTGTAGGTAGTAGGCATGATAGGCAAGCCTACTGAAGAAGATATAAAAATTTTAAACACCCCAATTACAATCAGTGAATTGAAAAACGTAATTAAAAATTTACCAACAAAGAAAAGCCCAGGTCCTGATAACATTTAGAGAAGAACTATTACCACCACTTTTAAACTTTTTAGTGAAATTGAAAGGGAAGCAATACTTCCAAATTCATTCCTGGAAGCAAGTATTACTTTGATTCTAAAACCAGGGAAAGACCCAACCAAAAAAGAGAACTACACTCCAGTCTCCCTAATGGACACAGATGCAAAAATCCTCAATAAGATACTGGCAAACAGAATACAGAGGGTCATCCGGGCGTGGTGGCACACGCCTGTAATCCCAGCACTTGGGAGGCTGAGACAGGAGGATCGCTGTGAGTTCGATACCATCCTGAGCTACATAGTGAGTTCAGGTCAGTCTCAACTACATAGTGAGACCCTGTCTCAACAACCAAAAAACAAAACAAAAACAAAAAAGAATACAGAGGGTCAGCAAGAAGATCATATACCCTGACCAAGTTGGATTTATCCCAGGGATGCAAGGATGTGGTTCAACATATGTAAATCAATAAATGTAATACACTGTATAACAGAATCAAGGTAAAAACCCATATGATCCTCTCAAAAAGCATTTGACAAAGTTCAACACCCATTCATGATAAAAACCCTCCAGAAAATTGGAATAGATGGTCTTTATCTCAACTTGGTAAAGGCTATCTATGAAAAGCCAACAGCCAACATCATACTAAATGGTTAACCTTAAATGCTTCTGTGATATTTGCAGAATTACAGTGGACAGACTTTTGAGATAGTGGAATTGCTTAACCAGTGTAGCTTTAATCTTATTATATTTAAGAGACCGACTAATATTTCTCTTATTTGTTTTGGCTTCATAAATGGAGTATATGGTCATAAACAGTAATATGTTTTCTGAAAAGGAAAATTGTTTTCAGTACAACTGAAGAGAAAATGTTTGTCCTAGCCAGTGGTATGTTTAGGTAAGCCCAGGAGTTCAACGCTGGATAGAATCCTGAATTACTTGCGAGATTTGGAGAAGACTGTTCTTAGAAGTGCATCATCGGCAGGCATATCTTTAGATGCCAGTGTGTCTCCAGTCCTCAGAGAGATGCTCTGCGGCCAGGCAGGAGCAGAGGGACTTGTGCCATGAATGTCCTGGCTGAAGCTGGGATCACATCTCACTCAGTGCTTTCTGATACTTTGCATTGGGAAAGTGTTAAGCTTTCTAGCCACATTTCTCTCTTCTTTTTGCATGTTTGTATTACTGTTCTTTAAGTTTTGATTTTGGAGCCAGACACATATGTACATACCTGTATACACGTGTAAGTAGTGTAAGTTTTATGGTTGAACAGTATTGTTAATATTGACACACAGTAGGAAATAAGGTTTTAAAGTGGATTTCATTACTTTGAGTTTCATATTGAAAATTTGAATTTTGTATTTCCTCAACTGTTACATGTGTGAGCTTGCATTTGTATTTAATTTATGTTAATATCCCTTTATGAAACATGGGATAGCTCCGTAATTAGGGTGCTGTATTACATGATGCAAGTGTATGTTATTGCCCAGATTTTGATGATAAATAAATGTAACTTCATTACTTTGAGATTAGAGGTGCAGTTCCACTACACTCAGTCCTTTGTTACTTTCAGGAACTGAAGATTTCATATTTAAAACTCTCAGGTGAAGTTTAGAAATAGCATTTCTGAGCTGGCATTACAGTGTTGGACTTTTACTCTTTTTTGTATTTTGAATCTTAAAAAGTTGCTTAATGGTGTGTTTGAGTGGTGTCAACTCTAAATTGTGCGACAGTGGATTTAATTGAAGTTAATGTGCAGACCAATTTGTTTTTAGCTTAATGTCATAGTGTTAAAATAGCTGCAGGTTTATGTCATTCTAAAATGATTCACATTGATGTTAATCCCCAAACAAATCAAGTTAGTGTAGAAGTAGTCTTTCTGGGGAGAAAGTCCTTTTATAACTGAAGGGGCTGAGATAATGTATTTCACTGTAATTTTTGGGGTGGGGATTGGAGACCTTTAATTTAAGGTAACTTACTTGCTGAAAATCTTTGTTAACTTTACCTTATAATATGGCAATAAGTAAAAATATTCTTTTTTGAAGGTTTCATTTGTTTATTTTTGAGACAGGGTCTTGCTGTTTAGATCAGGCTTGCCTTGAACTCGCAGGGGTCCTCCAGCCTCAGCCTCCCGAGTGCTGGGGAGTGTTGGGATTACAGACGTGTGCCGTCTTGCTGGCCTCCACGTTGTTCACGCTCTCTCTTTCCCTCCCCTCCCCTTTGCTGAAAGAGTGGGTAAAGGTGAGGGGAGTTCCACACCCTTTGAGCAGACTTTCCTGCTTTGCACTTCCGATGAACTTGAGGAAATTTTCAGTTTGATTTTGCTTCTTTGCTAATGTGTGCTCATCTTTATTTTGATATTTTTCTTGGGTTGTAATATCCTTGAATATAAATTTTTTTTGTATGGCGGATCGAATTCAGGACTTCGTGTTTGTCAGGCAGGTGCTGTGCTGCTGACCTGCATCCCTGGCCTGAAATAATTTTTTTATAGCTATGTTTTCAAAAATAAGGTGCGAGAGGGTGGGGGATTTAGCTCAGTGGTTCCCCGCCTGCTGCACAGGCAAGTGTAAGGACCTGAGTTCTATCCCTGGTACAGAACAAACAGAACAAACAAAACAAGGTGTTAGAAAACAAAGCATAATTTTAGGGGATATTAGTTGTGAGAGAGTTTAAGGAACTAAGGAATTGTTTATTTTGTTAATTTGATTTTTTTCAAGCAAACTGGCTTCTCTACCTTTTACATTCATAAAAGTTGTCTCTTTAAAAACTGTTCCACTTTTTAAGTTTGTACATCAGGACTTCATATTACTAAAATATTAGGAAATAATTATATTCTAAATAGATATAGGAGCCCAGAATAAGAGATAAATGCCTCCACTTAGAGCCAAAGTATTTCACTGTAAGACATATTAGGCCATCTGAGACCTAGCAGGGTGATATGGCAGGAAGAGGAATCTCATTGGTTAACAGCTTCTAAATTTGCAACTTGTTTTTGCTGAGAGTAGCATTGATGCTACATACCTTCAGAAGTGTTGACTACTTCTTGGTCCCTACTGCAGGGTGAAGAGATCCTGTTTTCCGATGTCCTACCGATGCTGTTAGGTATTCCCTGGCAGCGTCGGGGGAAAGGATCTGTGAGGTCCTGGGTAGCTAGGCTGGCACTTGGGTCATGGAGTGTGAGAAGGAGAAAGGAATTGTGCAGCTGAGTCATGTGGGTTCTGGGTGTACAAGGCTGGCCCCGCGCCCTGTGAGGGGAGCTCCTGCTGAGGTGGGTACTGTGTGCTGCTGCACTTGTGAGGCTGGGGTAAGGCCTTCACTGGAGACCTATGAGGGAGGATGACTGCAAGAGTCTGTCATCCATCGTTACCTTCTGGAGTAGTACAGAGGGAATGTGGGAGCGTGAGACAAACCTTAGACACCCCCGCACCGTACACACCTCTGTAACTCATTCATTGTGTGGTCTCAGTGATTGTCTAGAACTTTCTTATAGAAAAACAGAATGGTAATGCCGCCTGCTTACTTGTAAGGGTGTTCTGACGACTAATGAGTTAATTACCTTGAATGAAGGCAGCAGCGTCTACTGTGGCCATAATTTTTCATTGCCCCTCCAGAAAAGCTTCAGCTTAGGGGGATAAAATAGTGAAAGGAAGATAGAATTGGAGTGGGCTGTTTCTTAAGTCTTGTATTTCTAGTCCAACTGTAGGTCAGATTCATTGCTAGCTAGAGAACTTTAACTAGCCTAAAATTTCTGTATAAGTTTTTTTAATTGAGTCAAATGTCTGACCTGTTCTTTCTTTGAAAAAGAACAGATGTCTCTTCTGAGAACATATTAATAAAAAATGTTAGTGGTGCAAGGGAAGAAGATGGGTCAAAAGTGAGGGTAGATCTTAAGTGGAATGAAGTGGCTCTCGTTTTCCTGCTGTGGGTGCATTCTTTTTGAGAATTGCTGTTGTTTTATTTTGTTGGTTTTCAATTTTCTTTGAAAATTTTGTAGAGATCAACCCAAAACAAAATAAAAGATATAAATGCACACAATAGTTGTTTTAAATACCAAGGATTTCAGCATGAAATTAAAATGAATAGACTGACATTTGTGCTTTGAAATTTTTTTTTACTAAAGCTAATAAAAACCAAGAGTGAAAACTTCTAGCTTCAACTTATAAGGGAAAGTTTGGCCCTTTTCAGCCTTTTTAGATGTAAGGGTTTGGACATTGGGGTGCTAGGGGTTAAAATTTGCTTTGGGCCTCCAATGGCTCTTGGGGTATCAACCATTCTTCAGTTGCAGACTAGCTGATGTGTACATTGCAGTTTCCAGAGACAGGGTCTCTGAAGAGGTGAATGTGCTGTTCCCTCCCACCCATGTGTAACTGTTTAAAAGAGCACTATTGTCATGTGAATTCTTATTCTTTTGCGCTTGCCTTTGAAGTAACTTTCACAGCAAATTCCTGTTACCTAGACATTGATGACGGACTCACACCATTTCCTTTTTTTTTCTTAGACGTTCCAACCTCAGAGCAGCCTGAACTGTTCCTAAAGAAACTGCAGCAGTGCTGTGTCATTTTTGACTTCATGGACACCCTATCTGATCTTAAAATGAAAGAATACAAGCGCTCCACTCTTAGTGAACTGGTGGACTACATTACAATAAGCAGAGGCTGTTTGACAGAGCAGACTTACCCTGAAGTAGTTAGAATGGTGAGTTCCTTGTTTTCGCCGCTGACACTTTTAAGCATCTTCCTTAGCAACTCACAGGTTTATTTATTGCAGAGCGAGGTCACTGGAGGGAGGTGACTTCCACACACGAGAGCCAACCTCTGAGAGCTAAGCAAAAGTAGTCGCCACTAGAGTTTGAAGAGCATGATTTCAGGAGGATGAAATCCAGAACTTTTCAGCTATAACAGCATTGACGGAATCAATGACTTCAAAGTACAAAGCCAAGATTGCCAGGGTATTGTTGGATTTCTGGCCTGGAAAAAGAAAAGACACAAGAGAAATCAACAAAAGTTTTAGATGTGTGTTTGAAAAGTGTTCCACCTTGTCAGATGTCATCATCTTTTTTTTTCCTCCCTGTTCATTGTGGTATACTAGAAATGGGTTTACACTTGGTAAAATTGTGATTTGTAGAATGTACTGAAGGCCTCTCTTGGCTTTTTAACTAATGCTTTTTTCATGATCTTGAAATCATGAGTGATTGCTTTCATGACTTTAGAACACAATTGTATACTTTTTGTACTCATTAGGAATTCCAGGAGAAAATACTGGTGTGGTATGAGTAATTGTTTTTTCATGAGACCATAATTATGTTAGATATTTAGAAGTTGAGCCAAAATATGATTGTTAGGTTTCTGTGAGAGGATTGCCTTCCTGGACCCTTAGAAGATCTTGGATCTAGAAAGCACATGTCTCTTAGGCCTGGTGGGAGGAGGGGGGAGACTGGTCCACTGACAGGTGAAATTAAGCCACAGAGGTCCAAAGGGCTGGTGCATCATGGAGAAGCCCAGTGGGAGAACTGGCATTCTTAGATTTGTTTGAACATCCACGTAGTTTTTCTATGTACCTCTTACCATTTGTGTTCAACAAATGCAAAGAGGAGACATTTGCTATTGAACAGATATGGTTAAAAATGATAATTCAGATTTGGGAAGGCACTTGAATTACCTCAGCTTGAGAAACAGTTCCCACAGATGTACACATGAGGTATATTGCAATAACTAATTTACAGAAGTGTAGTGCTAGAATATTCTATAGCCATTATCGTTGTGGCTCTTGAGCAGTGCTCAACCAGGAGCGATTTTGCTTCTCAGTGAACATATGGCAGTGTGCAGAAACAGTTTCTTTGGTAGTCACCGCCAGGTATAGGAGGAGGGTGCTTCCATTGTGTAGAGGCCAGGGACGCTACTAAAAACCTCGCAGTACACACGACAGGGCCCATGGAAGTGACCTGGTCTCTGCTGTTGGGAAATGTTGCCCTTGAGTTTGCATGCTTTCTTATCCTGTTACTCAGGTCTTCCTTAGTCCCCCTGTTTCCTGCAGAGTACAGCACCTTGGTTTTAGCTTACTTTTGTCTTCAGTCATTATAACTTGTCTCTATCTGTGGATGATTCATGCATATATGAGCATTTACAAGTGTATTTGTAAAAACGGTGTTTTGTAACAACAGTGCTGGTATTCTGTGTACGCTTTTTGTACCTTGCTTTTTTCACTCTTCATGTTTTTTCACTTAACAATATTTAATATGTATTAGTACCTATGTTCTTTTTACAGCTACATACTATTGCATTGTGTTAATGTGCCGGATTTAAGCTGTACCCTATGAACAGCCTTGTAAACACGATTTTGCACTTTGTAAGAATATCTGTGTATTTATTTATTTTTAAGGACTTTATTTTATAGAGCAGCTATATGTTCACAGCAAAACTGAGAAGGTACAGAGATTTCTCAGATACCCCTGTCTCCCGCAGTAGCAGTGAGTACCAGCCACCAGAGTGTACATGTGCTACAGGTATTGAAATGGTTACCTGGGCACACCGTAGTCACTTGCGGTCCAAGGTTCACGGTAGAGTTTACACTTGGTGGTGTACATTCTTTGAATGTGCACAAATGCACAGTGGCTTGTATTCACGATTAGAATATCATTAAGTATTTTCGTTGCCCTAAAAATTGTCTTCCTGCTTTCCTCCATTACCAGCTCTCAAACCCAACTCCCTGGCAAGAAGTGATCTTTCGATTGCCACCATAGTTCTGCTTTGCCCAGATTGCCATGTAGTAGGAATACAAATAACGTATGTAGGCTTCTCAGATTGGCTTTGTTTACTTTTCAGTTTCCTTCGTATCTTTCATGGGTTGATTACTAACTCATTTCAGTAATATTCTGTTGTGTAGATGTGCCACAGTTTACCCATTCACGGTGCTTCTTAGTTTTGGCAGTTGAGAATAAAGCTCCTATAACATCCATGTGCAGGTTCTTGTGTGGGTATGTTTTCAACTGTCTTGCATAAATACCAAGGAATATAATTGTTGGATTCCCCCACCCCACTGCTTGCTGGATCTTATAATATAAAGTGTGTTTAGCTTTGTAATAAGCTGCCAAACTGTCTTCCAGAGTGGCTGTAGCATTTTACTTTCCCACTGGTGAGAACTCCTGTTGTTCCACACCCTTGCCAGTACTGTACGTGGTGCTGACTTATTAGTTAGTACCTTTTCTTTTTTCCTGGTTTCTGGACCTTCATGTATCCCTGGTCCCTGTCTCGTTTCCCTTCAAGGACTGGTTTAAAGTATTGCCACTGTTAACTGAGAAAGCCCAATGCTTATTCCGTCCTTCATGCCCTCTGCTTTTGACAACTAATCCTTTTGGAAATTGTTCACTGCTTTTTATCCTTTCACACATTTACCAGAATGTGGTAATTAGATGATAAGTACTCTGTGGCTTCTCTAATGACTTATAGCCTAGACTTAGTTGATATTTGTTGAATAAATTCCCTTTTAAAATTAAGTATTTTATATGATCAAGATATTGGATATCATTGGATTATATCCAGTTTTTAAATCTAGCATTTACCATCACCCCCACAAATCTTTCTTATGACCCAGCTTGGTTCTAAACCTGCTTTAGTCTCCCAAGGGAGACCATGTTTTCATCTCTTTAATTCCTTCCCCTTTCCCCATCCAACAACAACAACCACAACAACCACCACCACAACAACAGGTTTAAAATACAGTTAAGCTCTACCGTAGGGGGTCTTGGATCTGTAGCATGCGCGTTGGTCTGCATTAGAAGAGTTAACTTCTTAGGTGGTAGTTTAGAGTTCTTAGAGGTATATTTATTTTTCATATTTGGTGGTTTGTAAAAGTGTTAGCTACTAATTTTATATGGCATGGCACTTAGATAATCTGGGACATATAAGAAAAGGAGTTATTCACTTTGAGTGGAAAGAGAAAGGGTATGCCTGAAGGATTATAACCTGGGTTCACACTGACCCGGATTCAGGGGCTGCTGTGTTTATCTGTATTTATCACTATGAGCAAGTTGTTGTGTCTTTGGGGCTCTCAGTATTTGTGTGGTGCCAAGCAGTCCACAGGATTGGGACAGGTGTGGCCACAGTCTCTGCCACCTTGATTGCTCCACACCTGAACAGGTGTATATTTTTGTACTTACAGCGGGTGGAACTCAGGACCTTGAGCTTGCAGGGCAGGTATGGTGCTGCTGCGCTAAATCCCCAGTCCTGAATAGAATGACTTTGCTCATCAGGGTTCTCTCCACCTCGCACACACACACACAGAGTAGTAATAGCAATGGACTCTGAGTTCTGTAGGAAGACATAGACCCAGGTCTTCTTGGTGCCTTTACTAAGCCCCTTGTATATGGATATCAATATGGATATTGATACTGCTTACTTTTCCTCGCCCGAGTGATGTGTGGTTTTAGGGTTTTGTGAAGGTCGGCAGTTACATGTTAAACCTCTTAGGTTTAACATGAGGACACATTGATTCGATAAGTAATATTGTTGTGTTTAGTTGTTAGATAGTCATTGGTGGAATTCCACAGTTCTTGTTGATGAACTCAAAATGTTTAACACATTCACAGTGGGGGCATAATTTGTCTGCCTCACTGCCCGCTGGCTTTGATCTGAATTCAGTTGTCCTGTGTATGGTAGGCACACGCACGGCTCTGAAAACATGGATGCTGCTGGGGCTGCAGGAAAAGCCGAATGTGTCACGGTGCTTTGTGTCCTCTGTACAAATCAGCCACCTCTGTGTGTAAAATATTTTAAAGAAAGTAGCAAATTGAAATATATTTCCTTTAATTTAATGAAACAAATAAATTTGATTATTGTAATTATTTTAATTAGTAGGAACAGTATTAATATTTATATTTGGGAAATAATTATTCATATTCAAGCAACTAACTAGATTTTGTCAATTTTTTGACCCTTTTTAAATTTTATTAGTAAAAGGCCAAAAAAGTAATTAGATCTGTTTGTACCACCAGTGAGTGGTACGAGCCACCTTATGGGACGGTCCTGCATGTATCACCGCTGGTGCAAGCTGGCGGGAAGGTGTTACTCAGCTAGAAGAGCTGTGTTTCATTCCCTCAGTGGTCCTTGAATTCTTTAACTCCGAGATGATCCTTCCTGCTGTTTCCATCTGTTCTTTTTTCTTCTTACTGTAAAATGAAATTGCTTCTGTATGTTTAGTGGAGAAATGGTAGTGTTTTTTGAAGAAATACTAATGAAGTGATACTGGGTTTCACAGATCAAGATGACTAATGATCTAATTAATATACTATTGTATGGTGTCCGCACTAATACTAAAAGCTGATCCAGCCCAAGGGCACTCATGCATAGATGAAAACATTTCATCTCTAAATTGGGAAGCTTTTTTGTTTTTTGTTTTTTTCCTGGCAATACTGGGGCTTGAACCCAGGTCCTCGTAGAATAGGCAAGTGCTTTACCACTGGGCTGTGTCCCCAGCTCTTCTCATTTTCATTTGGAGACAGGGTCTTGTTAAAATGTTCAGGCTGGCTTTGAACTTGTGATGATCCTCTGGCCTCAGCCTTCCACGTAGCCAAGATTACAGGTGTATGTACCTCACACCCTGCTGGGGAAGCCATTTTTAACCTGGATACCTCCTACAGATTGCTAGCTGCTCAAGAAGAAAAGCAGCTCTTTTGTATATAAACCAAATTCTTTACAACA